CGTCGGCGCCGGGGACCTGCTCCCTGCGGCCACATGCTACGAGCGCGCCCGCTGCAACCGCCTCCAGAGCGTAACAGACAATCACTGTGCGCCACTGGAGCTCTGGGGACCGGCCGGCCGGCACGCAGTACGTCCGGAGATGGCGAGGGCCAGGCCCAGGCGTCTGTGCGGGCAAGCTGGGTGATGAGTGGACGAATGAGTGCAGTGAGGCTCACTACTGCCGCCGTGCCCGTGCCCTCGACAGCGTGCGCCCACCGCCACTGAGGAATGGTGCGAGCGCACAGGGCCGGCCGTTGCCGCGCCGAGGAAGGGGACGAAAAGGGAGACGACAGCGAGAAGGACACGGGATTCGCTGCTGTTGGGGCATGTGATGCTTTTCTTTTGGCTCGCTCGCCCGCTCGCTGGTCCGTCTCGGTGGGCCTCCAACTCATACCACCGTATACTCCTACAGTACGTATATTGCTGCTGCGTGCAGCGTGCCAGCCACTATCAGGCAAGGCACGGCACTTGCCGTCGACCTGATTGACGAATCAAAATGATACTCCCCTCCTTTCTTTCTCCCGGCCACTGGCCAACTGGGAGTCAGCCAGCCAGAGGTGGCGCGGACGGGATCGCCAGGGCGGACGGAGCCCGGCACCTGCGCATGGGCGGGCAGGGCAGCCGGAGCAAGGAGCACGAGGCGGACTAGTTTATGCCCGGGCCTGCGAAGACGAGAATTCAATATTTGTGGCGGAGACGACGGACGGAGCCAGATCGGCATTAATGAGAAGCCCGGTCGCCAGGCCAGGCCGGCAGCACATGGCATGGAGGATTTCAGGTGAGCGCACGGAGAGGGCGAAGCCAAATCGAAACTTGTCACGGGGAGGCAGGCGGAGGGAGCAACAATGGCGACGGATCTCATTTGGACTAGTACAATAGACAGAGAAAACGCTCGAACTTCGAAGTTCGAACCAATTTTCAGGCCGGCGCTGGCTAGCTCCTGACCGGAGCACAAGCTTCATCGAAGCCTTATTTCAGGATATATTTTTCGGTACAGTGGAGGTTCTTGGGTGTGGCGGAATTATGTACACGGGACGGCACGTCGATGGGCTCTTGAGGTTCCTCCATGGACGCAGACCTGCACGTACGCTCAGCACCGCCGCGTCGCTCTCAGATGTTTTGGCTTGCGTTCCATCATCTGGGTGTCGGTCGAGAGAGACACGAGCACAGCGACTCTGCAACCAAACTGCTCTCGAGGCAAGCACGCCCGTGGATGCGATGATGGTGATAGGTGCCCGCCGCTGTTTTGTCCTCCGTGCGGGCTTTGCCGCGGCGAGAAAGCTCCGTCACAGCTGGCCGCATTGCATCTGCAGGAGGAGCGACTCGTCGAGGTCGACGACCATGCCGTCCATGAACGAGCCCTGGTGCTCGAGCTTCACGCTGCCGTAGGGGTGGCCGCCGCCGAGCGTCCCCGGCTGCAGCGTCGACGGCACGAAGGCGTGCCGTTGCCCGCCGTACGGCGGCGAGGGCTTCGTGTCGACGGTGGTGAGCGCGGACGGCGGGGACCCCGAGGGGCTGCCGCGGTCGTCGTCGTCGGGCACGTTGACGGTGGTGATGTCGTGGATGCTGGAGCGGCGCTTGTTGTCCTTGCCGCCGGAGGTGAGCCGGATGAAGTACTTCTGCGCGTGGCTGGCCACCTGCGTCGGCGTGCGGCTCGTCACGTAGTTGCGGGAGATGTTCCTCCAGTCCCCTCGCCCGTACTTCTTCAGCCCCTTCAAGAACAGCCTGCACGCGGAGCACGAACGCGATCAGATTTCCGCCACCAAGAATCCAAGCACAAGAAGAAGATCACGAAGATGGCGGCTTACCGGTGCTCCTCCTCCGTCCACGGGACGCCCTTCTTCCGCTCCTGGTCGGCGCGCCCGCGCTTGAGGCAGTAGCCGCGCCTGAACCCGCCGGCGCCGGCGGCGCCGCCGTCCCAGTCCAGGGTGAACCCGGACGAAGGGGACGAGCTGTCGTAGTGAGGGAACGGGACCAGCCCGGCCTCGATGAACCCCACGTCGTTCTCGAGGGCCCGGTAGTGGTTCACCACGTCGGCGACCGTCTTCCGGGGCAGCATCAGCGCGACCATCTCCCACCGGTCCGGCGCGTCCAGGTCGATCGCCGCGAGCGCCTCCTCGAACACCTTGTTCTCCTCCAGCGTCCACGCGCCCCCTCCGCGACGCTCCGGCTGCACGGCCCAGCACGGCTGCCCGGCGAAGTAGGGCGCCGGCGGCGGCAGCACGTCCGCCCACGCCTCCGCCATCATGTCGGCTCTAGTTGCTGCTACCTGAGCTGGCTTAGGGACGGCGAGCAATGGAGGAAGGCAGGAAAGTGGCGAAGGGGGGAGGTGGAAGGAGGCGCGCCTATATAGGGGAGGACCGGGGGAGTATCAAATTCCGGGCGGCTACAAAAAGTGGCCGGAGTTTATTCCGCCTCCACCGTTGGAGGCCTTGAGGAGATGAGCAAAAAGAAAGTGGATGCTTGTGATTGGGCCTTGGTGGAGTTTGTGGCCTCTCAACCAAGCACAAGAGGTAAAAGAGGAGAGTGCTAGCTAATAGTAACAAGATTCAGTTTTGTTGAATATATGTCTTGCTTTTTCAGACATGTATGAATTATTTTAACCGGAGGAATTGAATTTTTGACAAATCACTAAGGGGAGAGGATACATACCCGAATGCATTACTCAAAGACGAGTAAAAGGCGAGCTTTCCAATTGTGCGCTAGAGCGTGAAGAGAGGTATTGACGCCATGGCATGAAGGCATCCTTCTTAGAGACACTTTCGTATAAAGTTCAAAGAGTGAAGTCGCTAGCTAAATTTCTAACATTGGTCCTTGCAAAGTGGAGTTCGTTGCCAAAGACAAGCATGTTTCTGGAATCCCAAATCTTCCATAACAAGGAAAGAGCAATCGATGGCGAAATATCGTCATGGAGATCCGACAGCGTGGGGACAACCCAAATGAGCTCGATGGAGGGTGGCACCGGGTGAAGTAGGCCATCCCACATCTGGATGGCTACTGGGTACTGAACATGTGAAGGTCGTCATCAACTGGAGCCTCGCATCTAGGGCAGCAGTGGCCGTTGGGGTGAATTTTTTTTTTTTGCAAAAGGGGTGATGGTTTTCTTGAAGAGGTTGCTCTTGGAATTGAGTCGATCCTTGAAGAGACGAAATCGAAGGAATTGATCATGTTCCATAACTAGGATATGTAGGTGTACAATTTTTTGTTACACATGTAAGAAGTTATTCAGATTGTTTTTGAAACATGTTTTTATGAGACATTGTACAAAGTACAACATTATTGTGGCAGATATAATGCAAAGTAAAAAAAACTTGCACCACATAGCATATGTGCCTCCCTTTTGATAGCCGTAGGCATCGAAACCTAAGCCGCCATCTCCCACCTCTCCATCCTCCCTTCCCCTTGCCATTGCTTGGTACTAGTGGTTGGCCTAAGCCCCGACACTGGTCAATGAAGGCTGCGGTAGGGAGGTCTTTCGTCTGGTAGCCCTCAATGATGAGATGCAACCTATGAGCGATGGCTTGAGGCATAGAGCATGGTTGTGCAGCAGCAATGGTGGATTTTGTGTATGGGTAGGCGGTCTCTGGTGACGACGTCGGTGGCCACAATCCTATCACTAGGTACGCGTGCGGCAGCATCTGCCTGTTGTCTTACTTGGGCGCGGAGGTGACGACACGCTCCTGCTCTGCTAGGCGATTGCAGTGCCGGTACGGGGGATCTTGGATCTTCATAATCAGCGGCAACGATGATTATGTTTTGTCGCCACAGACAGAATGATGGAGCATGAGGACGGTGTGGGGTTGCCGAAGCATCCCGAATTGGGATTTTGGCAGTGCCAGTGACCTTTCTACCTCATCAATCTCCGTCACATGTGCGATGACAACCTTTGCTATTCGAGCCTTTGGTGTTGACTATATCTTGTTGTGGCTCGACTACTTGTGCGAGCATGGTCATTGTGTGGCAGTTCATGTCAATACCATATTGCACATGTAGGTGTCGGGATCGGGAATTGGTGGTGACAACAGATGATGACTTTGATTTGTTGGTGCTTCTCAAGTATCGATCCCGAGCTCCGGGGTGAACCCGAGGTCTAGCCCTAATTGGTTATGTCTGGCAATGTGTCATTACCTTATTGAGGCATTGCTCAGATTTGCAGGGACTTAGTCTTCATGGTGAAATAGCCTTTGGCGGTTCGATCTGGCGACGATGACGCTTGAGCGTCGTTCCCTTTCTGAAGGCGTTGCTCTTGGAGAACCTTTCTCGTTATACTTGTGATGTCAAGAGATGATTAGAGTGTATATGGTTGTTAATGTAGCTTATTGATCATTGTTTTGGTTGCTTTGAAGTTTTTTTAATCCACCTAGGTATAGCTTTGGCTTGAATGACTTTGTTGTTTTCGATGTGATTTTGTGTGTGTGTTAATGTTGACCGTGTGCATCATAGTTATGTAGGGGTGGGGTGTGTGCTAATTGTGTTTTGTATCCCCTAATGATCTATTTGAGTCAGTAAAATCCATTTTTATAAAAAAATATGGTCAACTATTTAAAGGGTGTGGCTAGATGCAAGTTGCCTGAATATTGAAACTGGGTCAATCGATTTGCCAGGATCAATTTCAACCGCTGGATAAAAACTAAACGTTTCAACTCGCCTCCCCCTCCCCTCCACCCCCATCCCTCGCCGCCCATGGCCGCCGGGGCTCCCGTGACAGCCTCGTCGCACCGCCCTCCCTGAACCGCCCCCATCAATGGCCTTGCCATCATCCTCGGCCATCTCTCTAGCCTTGGGCGATGACCGGTTTT